TTTGGAAGTAGTCGTCTAGTTTGTTTAATTGTTTCATAATAGAGCTAAGTTCTATGTAATATAAAAATGTATGTTTGATGAATATAATTCTTGCATTTCCCAGCTGTATGGGAAGGATGGGGTTGGTTATAGGGGTTATTTGAATATCGTCACTTTGGACTCGGAGCACGTGAAGTAGAAGGATTGCACATCTACAACATAAAACGAATCTACATAAAAAATTCCAGCCTCCGAAAATATAGCGGTACGGTGATAAAAAGGTAATTTTTATATATAAACGCGCCCTTTTTAATGACCACGGCGGAAGCTCTAGTTGGAATAATTGAAAATCTTTTCTTAGTGCGCATCTAAGAAAGTACCTAAGTATCTAAGAAGTACCTATATACCAAATTTCAGTTTCCTAGAACTTACCAGTACGGAGAAACAAAAATTAATGAGTGTTAAGTGACTTTGGCATTCATAAATATAAATAGATTTCCATACCACTAATATTTGAATTCCTGCTATTTCATTTACTGTCTTGGGCAATTCCTTAGACATATTTTTTCTAGTTAACTTGGTCTGTTGATTCAATTTATCTCTCAGATTGTAAGCAGCATTAGTAAGAACTTATCAATCCGTTTATCATGACAGTAGACTTAAAGAAAAAAAATCAAAGAATCCTGAATGAGAGATACTTCAATACTTTCGAAAGTTAACCTTGGGAACTAAAAGTAGTATTGTAAAAGAGTTGGTTGGGGTTGATGTGAATATTATTATTAGAAAGGTGACTGATTTTTGTATCCCCCTCATCTATTTTCTGTAGTTGTGAATATGTTTTAATTGCAGATACCATTGATTCGGAAAGCTATGGAATTGACAGATGGAGATTTGAAACTTTTTACTTCTGCCTGGATAGCCCCGAAGTGGATGAAGGAAAATGGAGAATATTCAGGAATGTTTGGATTTCTGAAGGAATCTAAGTACCAAGTTTGGGCAAATTACTTTCGGAAATTCTTGGACGAATACAAAAAGGAAAATATTACATTTTGGGGAATAACAACCGGCAATGAGCCAAGTTTGGGACTTACACCAGCCAAAATTCCTTCAGTTGCTTGGACTGTGGAGGGAATGGTAAATATCGTATGTGTTGGGATTGGCTGATACTTGATGAAAATCCATTACCTGTGTTTCACTGTACAATAGCTTTCTCTGACGTATTTATACTGACTAAATTCTACATAATTTTACTTAAATCCACCGTCTCGATGAGTAAAAATTTCACCTGAGTTACTAAATAAAAATTTTGAACAATATTGAAAACATTTTACAAACCCATTGAATGGACATTCGAAAGACTGATTACCAATTTACCTAATTCAATTCAATTCGATGATTCTGTAAATATTCAGAATTCTTAAATCATAAGCATTCCAAAGGATTGAGTTTCAAACCTTTCTCTTTCAAATGTAATACGCCATAGTCATCACGTTCAAGAAACTACTGCAATGTTATTTCATTCTTTGGGAAAAGTTTCTCCCCGTTTGGCCAATACGAAGTTGTTTTGCCAAGAACCACAAGTCAACTTTATACTCCTGATCTATCCAATACTAAACTTTGTCGTTTTTGTTTTTGATACATTTGCTTAGATAATTATTTGTTCTGTGAGCTACATTCAAGCCTTTCTTTCTCGAAAAACGAGTGATGGGTTCACTTTGTAACCGTTGCTGGCAGCAATTTGTTTGATAAAACCCATTTTCCTCTGAAAATTACTTTTTGACAGTGATAATCTGATATTGTGACAGTGATAATTTGATATTGATAATCTGCGAAGCAGGGATGTGTCGAGAAATTATGTATGGCAATGCCCATGAAGTGGTTTGTGAAAAATTGCAAAATCATGGTTATTATGAATTTTGGTATACAAAATTTATTGAATTTTTGACCTCCATTCCCGTGGTGAATTTACCTAATTGATAGATGAATGAAATTTACAATTTCGACAAACTTGCCCAACTGCCAAACTGAAATAATGAAACAGTTCAAAAAACTGTTAATTAACTCAAATTATCAAAAAACAATTCGTTCAGGCCAGTCTCAACTCCCTACACNTAGTGAGTTGTTTGGTAAAGTTTTTCTTCTGGAGTTAAGTCTGGGTTGTTACTGACTCTTTGAACTACATTACTTTTGATTAATTGAATTCTACTACCGAAAGTCATTAGGTCTTCTCCTCTATGGGGTCGACTTCTAGTTAATTCTTGAACTAAACAGTCCAAATCTCTCCTATCCGAAAAACATTGTTTCAGAGCAGATTTTAAGGCGTCCCAAGTATTAAGTTCGGTTCTGTTACCAACCATATACTCGGCTTTACCTGTCAATTTTTCTTGAATACATTCAAGAACGTGTTCATTAAGTGAAGCATCATTAAACACATTGTACACGTTAACTATAGCATTGCATCTACTGATAAATTTGTTCAATGTATTGCTATCACCATCAAAAGTTTTTAAATTGTTTATTCTAGATTTGAAAAGGTTCCAATTTATTTGAGTTGGTTGGGGCGGAACTGGTGGAACCATTGTGGGTTGAAAAGTATTATCAAAAATTTCAGTATTATTTGCTGAACTTTCTTGAAATGATAAACAATTCAATCGTGATAAAATATCTTCAATTTCACTCATAAATAAATAATTGTTTTTCTCGATAAATAGTTTCTTAAAATTACTCGTCTCGAATAGACAACAATTTGTTCGCAATGAACGATACTATATATCTTCGCCGAAGTCCTTATACAGAGGGTTCGTGAAGGCAAGAAGGAAATATTTGGCACTTACTTGTAAGTTCCAGTTCCTTCTCCGTTGATTCCTTGCAGCTTCCCTGGGCTCTGTCGTCTCCTTGTCCGCTCGTTCTGGGTGGTCCTCGAAGGATTCTTGTTGAATTTGTGCTGAAGGGGTTGAAACTCCACGACGCAAAAAGTTCGTTTTCACGCTGCACAAATCCTACCGACTGCGCCAATTAAATGATTGGAACGAGAAAATAACTTTTTAAAAAGAATTTATTTTACAAACTAGAGACGACTGTCTCTTACGAGAGCTACAAACAGAATGATAATTAATATAATGTTAACTGGATGCTAACTGCATGTCGAGATAAGGGATTCCTGGAATATCTCTTACTCAGCTGAATCTCCGTGTGAATGGCCGTGTCGTGGAAACTATGACCACGTAACTCGCGCTCGATTGAATTTTTTTTCTTTTCACTTTTAACCCTTACGTACAATCACCCACATTATGCAAACGATCAGATTAACATACCAACATTATTAAAAATACGTAGGACATTGATGCTATCAATATCTGACGCGCTCGAGTATGTCCATGCAACAGTGTTTTTTTACACATTTAAAAATCTATAGCCGCTTCCCCCACCGATGAAAAAGTGTATATTATATAACATTTTTTTCTTCTTATCATCTAAGCTTTGCAACTTAATATGTCTCAATGACGCTCGAGTAAATCCCCATTTTGCATCGTGGGCTCCCCTGCTATTGGGAAATATCCCAAATTTCAAAGAATTGTTCATTATATAAGCTAGAACTTATTTTATCAGTGAAGTTGGTATTTAATCATCACTACTGCTTTAATTATTTTTTATTTTATGTTCCATCTCTGTGATATCCTTTAGCATAAGCTTTTTCAAGTATAGCGACTTATTGCTAAAGGATGTTATGCTAGGAATATCTTTCGAATTTTAGGGAACAATGTTTAATGAATGATTATTGTATTCAGATGTCATTACTTTGGGCCTCCCTTTAATATGACATTCTCAAATTTTGTTGAGCTTGTTAACAAAGTTTTGCAAAAATATTTGACCATTATATGAAATCTGAAAGTTTCTTAGCACTTAACCCCAACATAGTTAGAGAACGATGGGCTACTATGAAGTTTGGATCATTGTGGTTTTGGCAGGTGACAGATAGCAAAGATGTGAAAACTCCTGCCTGGATGCCTTCAACTTCAGTCTCCTGAAAAGAAAAATGGTCTTCTAGCCCGACACGAGATCATGAAGGCATTCGTGGGATTTTGGCATAAACATGATTTTACCGTGTCGCACAGTGGTGAGCGACATGGTCTGAACAGTGGCACCTTGCCTGCAAGGACCGCATGACTGCAATTTTGATACAGCGTGGCGGTGTAGATAAACTTGTCGATGCTCGTTACTGCTTCATTTATTTCTTTAATTCACATAGAACTTGTGAGATACGGTTTCATTATGAGATGAATACTTACGAGAAAGAACAAAAACAACTGCGAAAATTATGGGATTTAAGTTTGTTTGGCCAGGTATTAGAATTGTTGAAACTGAGACTACTGAGGAAATATCTTATAGTTACTCAAATACCATATAAATTTCAGCTTTCATACTTAAATACAGTTATGATTTATTTAAGTTTATGGCTATCTGGGGAGGAGTTATCACACCTTTGCTACCTATTAACTGCCAAAGCCACAATGAACCAAACTTCATAGTAGCCCATCGTTCTCTAGCTACAATGGAGCTATGCATTGAGAAAGTTCAATTTTTATAAAATAACGTAGGCCTGCCATTCAAGGGCTCTTGCTCTAATATAATTCCTAGCCAGGATATGACGGGGTTTGCTCCAGCATTGGTTTTCGTTTCAATGAGTTCCAGAATATATTTTTATTGCACTGACATGCAGTATAACATGCATATAAAGTAAATGAAATCACCACAAAGGGAGAGTTAAAAAATATTTTTCAAAAAAAGTTTTTGCTCTTCCTTTCAACCATGAGATCTATTGTTTTACAAAAATATCATGATATTCTTCGGTTATTTTATGAAGGCAACTGTAAAATTCAGAAAAACTTTTACATTTTGAAAAGTTTTCGACAAACAACAATCCTCAAAAGTCAAAACAAGTGCGAGAGGATTAACAAAATCCTACTTTTTAATATTTTATTCTTAGTATAGACTTGCAAGTTCCTTAAATAAAAAGCCCATTATGAAAATATTGTTTAATTCCTTTCAGGAAAAATTGGTGCATTTCTTAGGAACATACTAGAACATAAACTGTTGTACTGTAGATGAACGCTAACAAATTATCAAAACTCTAGACTATTCGAAAATAAATACTGATTTTAGTTAGTAACAAATAACAAATGTGAAAACAATAAATAACACAAATCTTAAAACTACATCGATGTGAATATGAAAAATTGGAAACTATCCTTACTTTAAAGCAATTTGTATTGTACATTTTTGACTCCACATCATTATTATCACAGCCTTGTCATACTGAAATTACAAAACAGGCAAAATGAAAAATAACTCCAAACTGAAACAAATCGACAATGTATAGAAATATTCCATTATTTCATTCCAACAATTGTATTGAGGGAAAATGAGAGAGCCTTAATTGTATGTGATATACATCCACAATGCTCTCTGTAGACACTAGATTATATATAGCAAATCAATTTAAAAATAACATGATTGTCATTCCATTTGAAGACGAAAAGGCTCATTTGATTTAGCATGAAGGTAGGTCACTTGATATGTGAAATTCATATGGAAACCAAGTTTCACATTGTACAGATAGACAGACCATTTCCGTAACCAAAAAAATCAAGGGTTTCCATGTTGCCAAAATTGCAAAGCTAAGAAAATTGTGCCTGATCATCCTGTTGGTCATTCTTGATTCATATATTTCAAAGTGGAATCTGATTTGGCAAAGCATAATTTGTTGGTTGAATGTAATGCTAGAGATGAAATAGTAATAGGTGTGTTTTTATAATTATGAAATATAGGATAGTTTTTCATATGCATCAGGAGTTATTTTACATGAGTATCTTAGAACCCAAATCGTTTTAGGTTTAGTAAGATGACAATGTATCACAAATTAACACTTACAAAATGAATACTAAACTTTAGTAATAAACAAATCACTGATAGTGTGAAAACGACAAAAATTAAATAACACAAGATTCAAGCATTTAAATGGCAGGTAAACTTGAATATTTCCTTCAAATATTTTACATCAAGTTTGTGCCAAAAAATTCTACGAAGTTAGTAGAAAAAAATGCAAAGTAATGAAAACATCCAACAGCAATTTGTATTGCACATTATTTACAATTGAAATCATTATCACAGCCCTATATTGAAAATTTTTTCATAATGTATAGAACTGCCAAACTGAAATAATCATACTCTCTACATTGAATTGATATAAACGAAATAATATTCTAAACTAATCTTTTCTCATAAATTGTAGGTAATCAAACTTCGTCTTGGGCAAAAACTTTGTGAGAGCCTTTGGTAATAATGAGTTGATCATATATACCTCCTATCAGCTCTTTATAAATCATGGTGTTGACGTTCTTGCCTACTTTATACAGTACAAAAAAATCCCCAAAAGAAATTTTGCTCACAATAAATTCAGCTTTCTTTCTCTCCAATTTACGTGAATGTGCCCTGAGTAGATAGACGCGGAAATTTGGTATGAACAAAAACATTCCTCTGTATACTAGACATAACATTGTTACAATAAGGAGTACAAGCAACCAGTACCACAATATCAGAAAAAATTTTTCGTTGAGAACGTTCAACGGCAAGATGCAGAGCGCATCGCGAATTTCTAGCGTTCCTGATGGACCAAATCTAAAATATGTACACTTGGCGATTTTTGGGAAAACAGTATTCATTGGATTGACTAGTTTATTTGAGGCATGCTCTATGCCATAGAGACTGAAATTTCCACTTACAAACCAGTCCATGAAATATATTTGGACAATCTGAAACAAAATGTTAAAAGGGAAGTAAGTGCCTATACAAAGTGGTAGCATTAAACAAATCAAAAGCCCTTAATCTCACATTATAGTGTTACTTGAATAGAACATGCATCTCTCTACTCACAAGGGATTTTGATGAATAAGTGACACCCGTGAGTCGTTGTGTTCATGTCATGTAGCACCGTGTAACACCAATGTAAGCAGTTCCACCGTGATTCAAAAATGTATAGAGGTAACCTTTGATGGATACATTTTTTGCTGCTAAACCTTCCAGAGAGAAGTCGGCAGATACTTTAAGTGGAAAAACTTTTCGTGGTTTTGGTCGTGTTTGCCCAAATAAAATACTTGTTAAATTATAAAGATTACAGTAATAGGAACAATCAATCTTAGTGCGCGGATTGGTACTGACGTGATATATCGTGAATTAATTATTATTTTCAATTCTTATTTTTAATTTCATCGTTCAGAAGATTCGAGTAGGAATTCAATAAATTTCGATAAATAGTCATTTTTTTAAAGTTCTGCTAATTTGACGTGAACAATTGGGGAGGGAGGGGGGTCGGACCGCTCTCCGCTTCAGTAGGTCATAGACAAAATTTGATAAAGTGAACATATATTCAGATAAACTATTACTGATCTAGCTATTTTAAAACGCCTGACTACAACCATTTAGTTTTCTACAGTTGCCTGATTTAAATACTGGATTAATCAATAGAAGGTAAACCTCTGGCTTAGAATAACTCCAAAACAAGCACTTTTACCAATCATCGAAAATGGAAAACTCTTCTCGACATGCGTTTCAACAACCGAGCTGGCGTATTCAGGAGATGAAGAAAACTAATTACTGAAACTGGTCTTCATTTATATCTAATAGAGTATACTTTCACTTTCCGAATCACATCACTTGGTTCGAATCATACCTTTCAGGACAGAGTCAAATGATGAGGACAACGGAACTCTCTGAGAACAGGGCCATTGAATCTGGTCTACCACAGGGTTCTATGTTAGGCCCTATTCTATTTCTGATATCTATGAATGACATCTCTATGATTGACATATCTGGTAGTTTCACTCTATTCGTGGACAATACTACAATATTGTGAATAGAAAAAACTCTGTGGAGCTAAATAAAATAATATCATCCGACTTGAAGAAGGTGAAGAGCTGGTGCTATGCAAATTTACTCTCTCTGCCATACAGAAAATAAATTAAACACAAAATTTCTCGGGTTAATCATTGATAATAGGCTGAAATTTCATGAACACCTTGAACAACTCAAGGGTAAGATCTCCTCCGGATGTTATGCAGTTAGAGTGGTTTCATATGAGTTGGGTTTCCATATCACAAAGACCGTTTACCATGCACTTATTGAATCTCGACTACATTATAGACTACCTTTTTGGGGAGCTTGCAACTCATCCCTATTCCTGTATTGATATCACAGAAGAGGGCACAAAGATGTCTCTGTGAAGTTAAACCCAGAGAAACATGCAGGAACTTGTTCACTGCCAATAATTTTAATAGTCATCGCACTTTTTATCCAAGTTTTAATGGCTCACTTAGTCCTCCGATATATTTTATGTCACCGTCCTCACAGCTTATATTATACATACCCGACGTTTCATTCTCCAACGATGTTGTTTTTACCCAACATTTGTTGAAGTGAGCGAGCGAAAGTTTTGAAGGCTCCTATCACGTTTAACTTTTTGAAGATACTATCTAATACGTATAACAAGCGCCAAACATAATGGTGAGCGATCGCGCAGATATAGACTCTCCCAACTAAATTACGATAAGCCCCCTACCGGCCAGTGTCATACCTATAATTAGTTTTAATTAGGGTAGCAAGTAGAACATGACTTCTTTGTAATTTTTTTTTACATTTCATTTAGTATTATAGGTAGTAGTACAGTTCATTTAAATATTATAAAATGAAACATCCAAAAATAAACTTTAATCAGTCACTATCTGAATACAATTTTTTTTCATCTTCACTGCTGCTTGTACTGCTATCGTCATTCAAATGTATAATCACTGGATTCACCTCTGTTTGAACGTCTGTGAATGTTCCCAATATATCCACTCTATACAACGCTTTTGCCATTCCTTGGAAGTGATTTGATCAAACTCATGCTCCGCCGGTTTCCTCACATATTAAAACTTGAAAGTTACATCCTTTTGGGACATGTTGTTTTTGACAGTGGCCCAAATGAGTTTAATGGGATTCAAATACCGATGGTAATGTGGAAGTCTCAAAACGTTATGTCCGTGTTCAAGCAGAACCCCATCAAATTATTTTGAATATTATGGTATGGAGCATTATCGGTTAAAACTACCGAATTCACAGGTAAATTTGGGATTAACTTTTCTTATAACCATTTACCATGATTTTCAGAATTCATTTCTGAATGATAATCCCCTAGTATTGTGCCTGATTCAAATATAAGCCAACAATTAGGTATAAAGCCCATGTCACCTCTTGCATGGACAATACTAATTCTTGGTCCCTTCCCAATATTTTTAAAAAAACCTTTTGGTTGATTCATCCCGCCAGTTCTTGAAATATGTATGTCCACTATGAAGGTATGTTTCATCAAGAAACACAATTGGTCGCTGTTGGCTACGAAAATAATTGTATTTTTGAAAATAATTGATCCTCCATGCTCTATTGCCCATTTTCTCTATTGATTTTTTAAAATTATTTTCAGTCCTCCATTTGAAACCATTTTTTTTTAATTCTACAAAGAGATGTATCGGAAGCGACAATTCCTAAAACGTGTTGGAACTTATTTTACCGTAATACGACGACACCCTTCCATCTGAAATTGGAACACTCATACTTGGGAATATCATTTACTAGTGCTCTTCTAGGCCGCTCCATTCTTAGGGTGGAAAATTTTACTTCTCCTTTATTTGCAGGAATTACTTGCTCCCCTTCTTTAACCACTCTTTCAATGGTTCTTAATGAAATACACATTCAACACTTTGAAAATAATCGAACAATTCAACAAACGTTGAGGTAGCCTTGAAGACAAGACGTTGGAAAATTAAAAGTCGGAGATATATGAAATAAGACATGAAGACTGTGACAAAAAATATATTGGTCAGACTAAGCGATCCAATAAAACTAGTTTCAAAGGTCACGTAGCACATATCCAATTTATATGTGTCTGAATGTTGGGATCAGTGCATGACACTAGATTGTTGGATGCTTTTGAAATTCTTGAAATAGCAAAGCATGGCATGGGAACTATGAACAGTGACAAACGTTACATTCCAAACAGTCCATTGTATTCATTTTATGAACCATTCTGTTGAAATTTGCGGGAACTGAAGACGCCAACTTGGTTGATGAAATGCATTTCTGGTGATTAGAAAAAACGTTTATTTTGGACTGGAATAACTGCTTCCACATTATCGGAAAATTTGCAGAATCTACTGACGGCCGAGAAAGGGATATTACAGAGGTTAATGTGCAAGCATAATTCAACGGGATTTCTTACTATTCAAATATTATTTCAGTTAAGAATATAGCTTCAAATTAGAAACTATTGTTATGAAGTGTTGGAAACGAATTTTCAAACTCATAGTTTTTTGTTTACAACTTTTTCATAACCAAAATACTATAATATACAATGGGGGGTATGACATCCAATGACTTTTGATATATTGTCAAAAATATTAGAAATTTACATTAACTGAATAAATTTCACACCAGGTGAAATTATTTACATAAAGTGTCCTGTATAGACTAAACTATCATCGTTCAACATGTCATGTTCAAAAATGTCATTCATTTTTGATCAATCTCAAGTGCGATTTGAAAACGGAAACAGAATAAATTCCTGAAATGTCATAGGAAAAATTCATGATAAATGTTAATGACAGGTTGATCACATCTTCAACTAAATAACATTCTCAATCATTGAATGTCAGGAATAAATTAGCATAATAACAATATTCATTCATAGAAGAACAACTGATTCATTATCAACCAATGTGGAAAAACATGTATACTTACATAAGCAAGTGATTTATTGTGTCAGTAAACATATGCAAGTGATTCCTAGTATGATGCAATTATAGATATTTGTAATTGAAACAAATGGTAAAAGTGACAGTGTCAAATTCGAAAAATTCACGAGGTCTGTTCAAAAAATAGAGTAAATTTTCATTTTACTCAAAAAAATATTTATTCATTAATTTCTATTTTGTCCCCTTCAAAGTAATCTCCCTCAGGTATAATATACTTGTGCCACCCTTTTTTTCCAATCCTCGAAGCAGTTCTGATATTCACTGTCTGGTATGTCCTTGAGCTCTCTTAGGGATTCGGTTTTGTCTCCTAAATCGTTCGCAAAACGCCGTCCTTTCATAGGTCTCTTCAGTCCTGGGAACAGGAAAAAGTGACAGGGAGCCAAATCTGGTAAATACGGTGGCTGATGCATGATTAACGTGTTGTTTTTGTCCAAAAAATTATTAACAGGCAATGACGGTGAGCAGGTGCAATTATCGTGATGCAAAAGCCATGAATTATTTTTCCACAATACCGGACGTTTTCTTTGTATTGCTTCTCGTAAGCGTCGCATAACTTCAAGATAATACTCCTTATTGACCGTACGACCATGTGGCAAGAACTCCTGATGCACTACGCCAAGGTAATCGGAGAAAACAGTGAGCAAAACCTTGACATTGAATCTAACTTGGCTTGCTTTTTTTGATTTTGGCTCTCCTGGGCTCTTCCATTGAGACGATTGGACTTTGGTTTAGATGTCATAACCATATACCTATGATTCGTCACAGGTTATGAATCCAGATTGTCTTTGACGTAATTCAACAATTCCTGAGCGATGCTCATGCAATGGTTTTTTTGGTCAAAATTCAGCAGTTCTGGAACGAACTTCTCTAATAATGTTTCGACGATTCTCCATAACAATTTTCCTCACTTTTTCAACATTGGTTGTCGATGTGCTGGGGCGTCCAGTAAGTGTTTCTGAGGAGCACTTAATTCCATTTTTTACACAAAATTTGATACAAATTCTTGGATACATTTTTTTGATAGCAGAAAATTGTCGAACACGTAAAACACTTCCAATTTTTATGACGCTCACCAACAAACTAAACATGCTAAACGTTCGACACGAGTGTACCAACAAAAAAAAAAGGTAATCGAATGTACATAGCCCACGAAATTTGAATATTCACCTCATTTTTTGAAGAGACCTCGTATATCATAATCAGGGTATTCTGTTAAAATCAGAAAGTTCACTTTTCAGATTGATAATGAAATAGTTATATACTATACAGTGAGTCAATTTTGAAACTTACTATGGGCTATATCTCACAAACGAAAGCTGATATCAAAAAATGCTTGAAACCTTTTCTAGGATAGTAAGGGGGAACTACTAAAGTGACATGAAAGAGAACTCACCCCCATCAACCCCTAGGCCCCACCCACCATAACTCAAAAAGTTTAAGTTGCAAACCCCTATTTGTGATGCATCATTGAAAAGACTGTAAATAATGCTATCCAATGGTATAAATAATAATCATACAGGGTGAAACAATAATTGTGAAACTTTGGCTTAAATGGAATATTTAATGAGGTTTTTGTTGAACTACAAATTTATTAAAAATGTCACTTAAGTAAATGTTCAAAGTGGGTTCCGTTGTTTTCTAAACAATAATACAGCCTATTGCCAATGTCTGCACGAACTTTAATATCAGCCGGCTCACTATGACTTTTTTACTTGTAATGCTAACTCCCGGACTATTATTTTAAATGATAAATGTCCATCGATACTTTTTTAAATAAAAACTTAATTTGCCGTTTTTGCAAAACAACTTGGAAAGATCTGTTTTTTGGGTTCTGTCAGAGTCAATAATTTTTGGTTTGTTTGAGACTTTTAAATGCCATTAGTTTTCATCATTTGTACGATCTGTACTGTCATTCAGCTGTAGTTGTCATGATGGTTTACAGTATACCTGAGCGCATGGAGATAATTTTCAATTTTGCCTCCCAGAACCAGTGTTATTTAAAAACAGCTTAAATATTCCATGAAAGGCATCCGGACAAAAATGTAAGTCACGTGTACGTCTGCGATTTAGTTGAAGAGTTTAGAGAAACGGGATCAGTGCAAAATAAAAAAAGGAATGCCTCAAGATTACTGATGAAGCAACACAAATTGAGGTACCTGGAAATTTTGCAATGGAGCCTACTGCATCAACATGTCAAGTATTTGCAGTGACAGGACTTTCACATGAGTCTGTTAGAAAGGTGTTGAAATTACATAAGTTTCACCTGTACAAAACACAAATTCTTCAAGAACTAGGCGATGATGATCCAGACCAACGATTTGAGTTTTGTGAACTCATGAGTGAAAGAATTCGCGTTGAACCGAGAATGTTAAAAAATATTTGTTTCTGTGATGAATGTACTTTTATGCTGAATGGTAATGTAAATAAACAAAACTGTCGGTACTGGAGTGATGCGAATCCGCATCAGAGAAGGTCACACTCAATATCCTGAAAAACTGAATGTTTGGGCAGGAATATTAGGCGATGCTATAATTGGTCCCTTGTTCATACCAGACAATTTAAGTGACGACATTTATCTCGATATGCTGGAAAATACCATCGAACCTTTATTTGTGCATGAATTAGAGAACCAAAGGGATGACCAAGGCAACCTATCTGTAGACGAAGATTTGCTGCACTTCCAACAAGATGGAGCACCTACTCACTATGCAGCTCCAGTTAGGCACTGGTTGGATACTAATTATCCGAACAAATGGATTGGAAGGAGAGGTCCCATTGAGTGGCCATCGAGGTCACCAGACTTGGCGCCACCTGACTTTTTTCTGTGGGGTCACCTCAAGTCAGTTGTTTATAAAAACCAAACTGCGTCACTTGGGGAATTGCGAGAAAGAATTACGCAAGCATGACGCGCCATTACTAGAACAACATTTGCCAAAGTTCATGCAAAATTGGAAAATAGGCTGTACTATTGTTTACAAAACAACGGAACCCACTTTGAACATTTACTTAATTGACATTTTCAATTAATTTGCAGTTCAACAAAAAAACCTCATTAAATATTCCATTTAAGCCAAAGTTTCACAAATACGGCTTCACCCTGTACAATTATTATTTATACCATTGGATAGCATTTTTTATAGTATTTTTAATGATGTATCACAAGTAGTGGTTTGCAATTTAAACTTTTTGTGTTTTGGTGGGTGGAGCCTAGGGGGTTGATGGGGGTGAGTTCTCTTTCATGTCACTTTAGTTCTCCCTTACTATCCTAGAAAAGATTTCAAGCATTTTTCGATATCAGCTTTCGTTCGTGAGATATAGCCCATTGTAAGTTTTAAAATTGACACACTGTAGAAATATTCAGATATGATTTTATTATTCACCAAGTCACTGAAATGTAAATGGTGTTTTATATAAATTTAAAGTTTACATTTGAATACATTGATGTGGTTTGTCAATTCAAATTATGGAGGAAGACGATTGTTCAATTTTTTGCACATATGGGGCTTTTGATAGTTGTGTTTCTCTATTGAGTGACATAATTGTGATTTTACTTCCATTTTAGATTTGTGTATGTTCAGTATAACATTTTGGCAGTATGACTGTCTTAAGTCTTGGGGTTTACTGAAATGATTGGGTCTGTCACTTGAAAAAGTAAGTTTTTTTGTGAATAAATTTCAGAAATCATTTTTGTTAATTTTTATTTCTCCTGGTGACAATTGTGTATTCCACCTTAGCCCAAGATATCCACGATAACAAAATGGTGATTGGATCAATGGGTAGTAAGATGTTTTCGAGTGATGTATGAGGACTAAAAACTTAGCTTTCCATTTTGAAAATGTGTATAATTCATAAATACATAGATTCATTCATGATAATATACTTACCACATTTATAAAATTCAAAACCTCACAGAGACAATATCGAATTGTATAAATATTGTGAGAGTACTTTTCGCTCAGCAGGTACTTAATGAGTGTGTCTCTTGAGGCACTGTTCCAATTTGCACTTAAAGGGCCTCCTAAAAAACACAATCATAAAAAGATTCTTTGAGATCAAAATTATTTATATTTGAAATGTTGAGTTGTTACAAGAAATTTCATTGTTGTTTTATTCCCTTTCAGACAAAAAATATTGCTAAGTAGAATTTGGAACCTCTTATATAAAATGAATCTACTGAAAACGTGTTTCCTTCACCAGAACAGAAATGTTGAAGAAGTTAGAATAATCATCAAAAATTTTGGTCATCTCCTGATGATGATGCTAATCTGATTAGCAAAACAAATGTCGAAAAATTGCATTTTTGTTCCAATGAGGAAAAAGTGTTTGATATAAATAAAAACACATATTTGCCATTAAAGCTACTATGAAAATATTCTGTGTGTTACCATAGTATTTCACATCCCACATAACATCATAAACATTAACCAAAGGAAATGAAAGAAATTTGAAACCAAAATCAAACAAACCCAAATCTCTGCATTATGAAATTTTTGTAAGTACCATCTTATTCACTGTATCTTCATTAACTTTGGGAAATATTGTAATTATTTTTGTACCTCTCTGTTTCAGTTTCTTTTGAAACCCATAGTAAACTTCTTTCAGGCATGAATTACTTAATTGATGAGCCTTAAGAACTGGACGTGAAGTGGATGTGTCACACAGTAATTTGGAATTCCAAACTAAATACAAAATTTTTTGTCAAGTATTTTTATTTGTTTTTCAATATGTATTAATATACTGTTTAATAGATTCAGCTCCTCAATATTATCTCCTTTATGACCTTGTTGTTTTGATGGATATCATGAAGTTTATACATTAGCAATCAACACAATAAAGTATAAACCATTCCTTGGTTTATTGCAATATTGTTTATATATGAGTGTTCAAATCTAATTCAGTGATAAATAGTGAATAACAACTTAGTTCATGAATCAGCAAAATATGTTAAATATATACAATAAACAATGAAACATAAAATATTTCAACTATTCATATTTACTGATTTTGTTCAAATACTCAATATGAGATTCAATAGTAACACTCATATTACTGTGAAGTTATATTAAATTAATGAATCACCTAAGTCACCAATGAGTAGTTTCAGCCTTCCTCCCTCCCATGTTTTCCAAAAATATTTGGGCAAGTAGAAAAACATAGCTTGTATACCAAAAGTAAGACAGACCCATTGATAGTATACTTGTTTGTTGAATGAATCACCGAGATGTTTCACATCAGGAGTTCCCAAACCAGGTAAAAAATTATCTGAAATCACTGTTTTGGTGGACAACTGATTGTAAAGCAACTACAAACTTACCAAAAACGTTGTTTTTGATAATGAAAGTGCCAGAAATCCAACAAAATGTGTCGATAACATCCTTTCTCTCATCAACATCACAGTTTATGGGATCTCCGAAATATTGTTTGCTCGTCAACAGAATCGTAAAGGAGAGGAGCAGTAACACTGTAACTCTATAATGTAACTTAAATACATTATTATCTGTATGAACCTCCTCTAATTTTAATATGGATCTTAATGAACGATAAAAATCAATCATTGTCGACTAAGTATTACCAGAGTCCTTCGGAAAAGACTGAAACCACTTGAAAAACAAAACTTTCAGAACTTTGTGGAAGGAACAAAAACCCGAAAAAAAAATTCAAAACTCGCGAATCGCTAAACATTCGTACCACACGTACACTTGGAACACCATTAACATGGAATCTTCTGGTATGTCAGCTGTCAAATCAACCGTGCTGTAAATGACCGGAGCTTTTTTGTGTCGGCGACAACAGAGCAGCACAGGAAAACGAACTGTCTCTGTCACAAGATATTTTTATGTTTTACATGTGTTTCTGAGTCGGCAGATTGAGACAGTTGTGGAGACCAGTGACAAGACCAGGAAAGTAAGCAGATTGAGAACACGGCGCCAAATCACAAAACTTTTGTAGCGTGTCACTATTTGAGGAGTAAGCAAATTAAGACCTCTCTGAAGCCACACTTTCTTGAAAATTGTTTCGAAGCCGAAACATCCAATAAGTAATGACTTCAGAAGCGGTACAACCTGGGATTCATATTCTCAGATTCTTGACTGCGCAAACTTATCCGAAAGCACACATATGTATGTATATGTATAATTTCTTCATAATACAAAAGCGAAAACGGCGAATTTACAAACCCACCAAAAAACATTTCCTGGGAGCCAATTCTTGACATCATGTGAACATGCTTATAAGGTTCTACATAAATATTCCATGCAAATACTATATATGGTATTCTCTAGTGTAATTAATCGAAATAGATAATCGCATGGGAGAAGAAATATACGTATGTCTTAGAATAGATATTTGAATATTAATAATCTACGAAACGAGCAATCATGTTTCCCGGATTTTTGTGAACTTTTACATTTTTAAATGTTAAGTATGTGTGTTATGTTGAAGATTCGTCGTTAATAGTCGTTAGTTTGAAAGTTTCAAAAGGAGAATCCAATTTTTTAGTAAATATGACAAAAAAAAAGGACGATGTTCCGTTGCTTAAAAAAAAGAGAACGGCAATTGATGTAAAAAATAGCATTCTGGGAGCTAAGAAGAACTAGCATTTTCCCAAACAAATTCCGCTTCAGTCATATTTTATTTAACGACGAGCAGAACATGGAGTTTACTAATCAAATTGTTATTTCATTAGAGTTCTAGGCAGTTTTTCAGTCGTTGTACTGATGAAATCAAGAAGAAAAACTAATAACTTTTATTGAAAGTACAAAAATAGTCAAAACTGACAAATGAAAAATACATAATAATGCCATTCATTTCTGGAAAGAGAAAAGGTTTTGACTTTCTACTTCTCCATATTTATACAAAAAATGAAAAATGTGGGAATTTTATTCCGAAACATCGGATGTTCGCCATTGAGGATGACAGTGTTCCATGTAAGTGAAATTTCACCTTCTCCATATACTATATTGGGTAGCAATCATGTGAATGATATCTGATTTAATTCCATAACGGATACCAGAACATCGGCTGTGGATGCACATCTTCACCGGCAGCAGGAGAAGTTGCATATCTTAATGCGAGTATCTAGAAGTGATTTCAAATTGGGGTGAAAGTAATCAGATTCAATTCAATACCACGAAAACCCAGGCATCGGTTTTCGACAAAACTATTGTTATTTCATAATTTTCTATACAATTCCGTTGTTTATTTTTATGCGGAGTATATGAAAAATTGAATAATATATGAAAATAATTATTTAAAATCAATAATTTTTACCACCCTGTAAACCTATTTTGCAAGTAATTATTTCAGAGTGGTTTTGCTCTTTACTATTGATATTTCATGATACTAAATTATATGTAACGAAGCAGTCAACTCAATTAATTTTATTCACCCTGTAAACCTATTTTCGAAGCGATTATTCCAGAGTTGTTGTTTCATACTATTGTTATTTCATAATTTTCAATACAATTCCGTTGTTTAACTTTGTGCGGAGTGTATGAAAAACTGAATAATATATGGAAAAAATTATTTGAATGCATTAATTTTCACCACCCTGTAAACCTATTTTGCAAGCGTGGTTGTTTTCTTCAATTGTTACGTACTTCATGATTTCCTCTCGTTTCAAGTTAGTAAATTTTGTGAAGAATATATAAAAAACTGAATTATATACGGAAAAAATGAGTCAACTTTATTATTTTTTCCCACGCTGTGAACCTATTTTGCATAAGCAGCCAATTTCACACTGCTCTCTTGATGTGCTTTTCGCTAAGCAAGTTAATCATCAGGAGTTGACTGCAGGTATACCTTTGTTTTTATAAAATTAATTTGAAAATCGAGAACCGTTGTGCAGGTAATTAGACATACAAGATTGAACTAAACTTAAGAAGAAAGACTACTATCCATTCATATGTCATTTAGGCACCAGAGGTGTTGTTTCACTTGACTTTCCACGTCGTTTATCTATAAACAACGTTCATAATTTGTTATATATCAAGTTCTTTACCAAGTAGTATGCTGTATCAAAAAAAAAGTTATTGAAAGTTGAAGAAAGGATAATCAGAGATTCTAATAGTCAAAACAAGGTATTGTGTATGACGTGTGTGAAGTAGCCGGTTGGTTAGTGAGCCCAACTCATGTCTGACAGGCCTTTTTACAGGTCACTGTCTGTCATTTGAATCATCATATGCAGAGACTTGGACTGTCGGAAGACAGTGTGTGTGACTTCTGTCTGGAAACTAGAGAACATATACTTTGTGCCTGCCCCACTGGGGACCGAATCAGGTTCTTTGAGTTCGGCAGATCCGTACTCTCACCATCTGACCTGAAAGACCACTCACCATACAAACTAATCGGCTTCGTTGAGAAGCTGGGTTTATTTTGCCGAGTGTGAATAGGTGTGAGCCACAATAAACCCTCATGGGTTGCGGTGGAGGGTCGAATAGACCCACTCACTTCAGACCTACCTTCCTACCTACCTACCTACTCATGAAACCAACACCACTGTGAAAGTTTGTTCGATATTATCTCTGCAACAGACAATAAATCGCACATAAAATGATGAGATTCCGTTAAATCTAAGCTTCGATTTCAGAGGGGTGTCTTTCCTGAGGAGACACCAGCTAGAAAGGAGGATAAGTTTTCAGCTCTGTGCTAAAAATCAATTTATTGTTAGTCTTTCATCAAGATGTCTTTCAAGGCAGAGGTTACTTTTCTGATATTGAGCAATATAATGTTATCCACAAGTTGTTTAGTTTATTTGGGTTGCTATGATATTGTGTATGTTCAAAATAAACATAGAGGTATAGTGATAGAAGATATACTTCAAATATTTACTCTGATGTGAATAGTAAAAACAATCCCCGAACTTAAATTTTGAAAAAGGGAAACGTTTTTCTGCATTTTCAATTTTGTATAAGGAGGAAATTGAGTTTTATTTCAATCAGTTTTTTGAAATGCTGAATATAGGTTATCTGTGCTTCCTTCCTGCGCAAATAAACTTTATCTTAAATTGTTTCCGAGTGAACTCTAAGTCGTGATATTTCGTATATTGACCAGCTCTCTATTCAGCTTTTTTGAAGCATAATATCCAGTATTAACCTTTGGCTTACATTTTGCTGAAATCAGAAATACTATCAGTGGTCGAGATAAGTGAATGAGGACAACCACTTACTCTAGAGCAGGGGTTTCCAAACTTTGAAGCCTTCGGGCCATAATGATTTTTTCAGTTTGTTCCAAAGGCCAATTTCTGCCCTTAACTATATTTCTAGGCTAGTTAAGTTTTCTTTGTCATCATTTCTGTCGTTAAGTTTTACCTTGCAAGTAAATAAAACCGAATAATTATTCTGTTTTCTTCTTCAACTTATCACAGCAATAGTAACAACAATAAGGTAATCATCGGCTGTCGCGGGCCAGATTGATGACAATAAATCATTGGATGTCGCGGGCCGGATTGATGACACTGGCGGGCCGGATTTGTCCCGCGGGCCGTAGTTTGGAGACCCCTGCTCTAGAATAAGTAGTTTGTGAGGGCAACCACGAAAATTTTTGCCGCGAGAGGACGCTGATGTGTCTCAGGTCAGTTCTGTGATCTTTAGAATAAATATTTAAAATAGATCATTTCGATTATTTGTATCCGGAATCGCTATCATGTTTTTATAATAGAATAAATAATAGAATTTTTCTTTCTCAGATAAATTTCCTTGCCAACTCGTAATCATTCGGAGTAAAATGTTGTTGTACCCAATGACACATTTCGCAAGGATATGTTTATCATTTGAAAATTTCTGATCGGAGCTACTCACGGATCGAAGACGTCCTAATTTATAAGTAAAAACCTCGCAAAACGAACATGAAATTCCTAAAACAATCCAAAATCCAACATACATTTCTCGACACATAAATAGCTGTTTAAATGTTAAACTGTCGTCTTGACCTCGCGCCCTCAACGCTCTCTGACAGCCCCGCCTATGGTGGCCGTCATTGAACGTAGCCTTTACTTGTAGAGAAGAGAGTGCCATCTATGACGTATGGTTGAAACGATAAATTTTGAAGAAATCTTCTGAAAGTTTCAAATAACTTTTGAAAAATAAATAATAGAGGGTACGAGAGAGGTTTAAAGCTCTTCAAAAATGTTTACTTTTTATTTTTTTTTATTTGTTTGCATTAGTTTAGTTCCAATTATTCATTTTTCCCAGAAGAAATTACGAGTATTGTTACTTTATGTAATATTATGACACTCAACTTTCCCCTCAATGTTCGTGAATTATCCCGACGTAATGTTTTTGTTTTCCCTTTTGACCTTGTGAGTTTGTTCATCTGATCCTATAACAATTTTTAATTCAATTGTTTATATTTATTCGAATCTTCGTGTGATTAATAAATGACATTTTCTCACACATATTAATCGTCATTGGCGTGATGTACTCGATATGGGGGCATGTTTAACTTTAGAACGCGAAGAAGGAAAAGCAAGAAAGCGAAGTGAAGAGATTGATAGGCAGTTGGGCGAATTTGCCAAGCAGCAGAACAATGTTATCAAAATACTACTTCTTGGTAAGAATTTTTGATTATTTTCTCAGTAACTATATTCATTTTGTCACTTAGTATTGCATCACATTTAAATGTCTTGTAGGTGCTGGTGAAAGTGGGAAAAGTACCTTAGTAAAACAAATGAAAATTATTCATGCTGATGGATTCACACATGCTGAACTCAGTAGTTTCAGACCAACAGTATTGGACAATCTATTGGCATCTATGAAATATGTTCTTGCTGGAATGGGAATCCTCAGAATAAACTTGGAACACCTCAGAAATAAGATACACGCTCAAAATGTTTTGGTAGCTAAAAGTTGTTTTGATATGAGTTTTACTATACTTCCTGCTGTGGCTGCTTCACTTCAAGCACTATGGTCTGATAGAGGTGTGAGACTTGCTGTAGCTCGAGGTTATGAGTATGAATTAAACGACTCAGCTCTTTAGTAAGTCTATATAAGTTATTTTTTATCATAGCAGTTCTGACCAAAACATTTTAAACTGTAAACCATTTCAATGGGCTGCAGATTTGGCCACATCTAGGTTTAATAATTTGAACATCCAATTCTATTGAAAGGTAGAACTGGAACTTCTGGCCTAGAATAAATCCAAAACTAACACTGCCTCCAAGCAAGTTATTGCAGTTCTAGTATGTGGATCAATTCTAGGAAAACATTGATTGTTGCTAGTATGAAAGATTCAAATATTTAGTATTACTTCTATTTACTGTTTTATTATTTCACAAACATAAAGTCAGTTTTTCATCATGACTAGTAAATTGAATAGGTATTTTTCTGTGACTAGTGTGATAATTATGTATCAGGCAATGTGTCCGTGCACAGTTTTCCTCAAGATCCAAAAGTAGCGAAACAATAGAAAATTATACTCAGAATCCAATCCCTAATTCAAATACATTTATTACCTGCTTTTGTACGTTTTGCGCTTATATTTTGGAAAAATATTGGTTGGGGTCTGTATTCTAGGAGTAGTCCTATAATTACATATAATACTGTGTATTAGCATTTATTAATAATAATGATAATAATAATGAGGAATGATGCCCTCTTTACTCTCAAGATCATGCCGGCTTGCCGCAAGAAGGCTGAGCAAATGCAGAAGGCTGTCATTCTTGGCTCATTATGTTTGCTTAGTGCACATAATTCTCGAACCCAATGATCACTTATTCCGCAGTATGGGGAGTGGGGTCATTCAGTGATAATGCTGGCACACCATCACGACTGTGTCGGAGCTTCGGAGACAGGGCCCGATCACCTTACCCTTTGGTATAATAATAATGATGATATTTATTAACAATTGAGGATATCAAATGTTCATATAGAGTTAGGTGTAGATGAATACTAATGAATATAAATAAAATACTCCTAACTATACACAAAAATATACATATTTATGCAACACATCGAGATTGAAACAATTGAGAACTTCAATTTACATGTAATATAGCTTTTGGTATTATTAAAATTTATCATCTAAAAATTTTTAGAAACTTTAGTAGCATCTTATAATAAGGATAACTTTATTTTGGAAAATTTTTTCACTTCTGCTTGTCTGACTAATCTCAGTAACTTGTATCTATTCTAAGAATAGATGAATGTTGTATTACAAAGCACTTTATCAATATTATCAGAATTTCTTTCTCATTATTGACAAAAGAATGCAGATTGATAAATTCTCAGGAAACCAGATATAACTTGGATAACCCCTTTGATAGAGTAATTTAAATTTGTATTATTTTATCTTATCTGAAGAGAGTTTGATTGTCGTCTCAAGCTCAAGCTCAAGCTATGAAAGTTTACACTCAGTGTGAGAAATGTTCTTTGTTGATATTTCAGGGGAAGGTGAAACTGAAGACTTATGAACTGTTGAACACAATATTTATCACTTTTTCAAACTTTGATTATCTCCTAGAAAGTTGTACTGAAAAACAAATAAAATCATGTGATTTTTTTCCTGAAATTGTTTTACTAACTACGGCACGAAACTTCAGAGGGTGATTTGTTAGGGGTCGTTTAAAAAAAAAAATATAAGAACACATATCCGGAGTTGCTTTGTTTCTGAGACACAGGGCGTTGAAGTTTGAAAAAAACTTTATTTATAAAATATTATAAATATCCTTACCCGATTTGGTTGAAATTTGCTACAGTTATTCGAAGTAATAAGGCGCTTATTTAGCCCTAACTAGATTGAAATTATTAGGTCCAGTGGAGTCTCAGTAGAAACCATAGCCGACAATATTAAAAAAAAATACGCCACAGACTTGTAGGTTTTTATTTTTTCAGATTAATCAACTGAAAATACTTTTACGTCGCTTGAGTTTTCTTTATATTTAGCTTCGTTTTCAAGAAAAAAAATTGAAACCACTTTGCATTTCATGAACACTTGCTTTGGAGACCAGCTGACAGTGTTTGTGTTGTCATATCAGTGAAAGTCAGAGTTGTCAATTAGCAGTGATTCCATTATGAATGATTTAACTAACGTTTCAATAACTTTTTAGTCTTTGAAAAGTCAACACCCTGTATCTCAGACGTCAGAAATGAAGCAACTCTGGATATATGTTCATAGTAACTTTTTATCTTATAACTATCTAACGAATCACCCTCTGAAGTTTCGTACCGTAGTTAGGAAACAACCTGTATTTATACACATATTAATTTATGTGGAAGTTATCAATAATGTGTTGTGTGTTGCAAAAACATTTTTTAAGCAATTTTAGTTGTCAAAGTCCATTGATTATGGTATACAATAGAAAATTGTTATTACATGTCAGATGATGATTTTATCTTTCTTGAAAATTGTAGTGATGTTCAAGTCCAACCGAATATCTCAGATCTATTTTGTTATTTCCAGATTTATTAAAAATTATAGGAAAATTAATGGGGAAAATAATGCTGAACTTCCTTGATACTGTAAACATCATATTCACCTCACAATTTGGGTTTTGAATGTAAAAAAGCATGCACAGTTGAATGTTGATGAAGTGGCAGTTGCGTTTCTGTACATGGGACTCTCGTAAACGATAAGAGATAGAGTGTCGGTTTAATTGTGGCAAAGTTGCGTATTTTAGAGACCTATTCAATGATGTAAAGAAATCGATTATAGCTCTTTTGGTTCTGGAGATATACAGGAAAAACCAAAAAATCCCAAATTATTTTTTTGCCTATATTTTCTTTATTCGCAGACATATTGAAAATCTGTCCACATTTTGCTAATGGCACTTGATGTGGGCTCTCAGAATATATCCATGAATCTTTTATACAGGGTGTCATCTGACTTGGGCCACCCCCTTCTTTGAATTTTTAAGTACGAACCTGGCCCAATAAATGTTCGAATTGGAGTCCTTCCATTTCGAGACAAATACTGGGCCAATATAATGGCCTGCAAGATCAACAGATCTTACTATTTATGACTATTTTCTATGGGCATTAAAAAATAGGATTTAGGCTGGCAGAGAGATAGAAAATGTGGAAGATTCGAGATTGAGGATTTTGAATGATTTCGCAACAATGCCGCAAGTAAGTGTATTAAGAGCAATAAATAATATGAAAAACCGAGTTTAAAAATGTCTCGAAATGGAAGGACTCCAATTCGAACACTTATTGCGCCAATAATTTTTTTGGGTACCTATATAAATTACTTCATTTCAATTTCCATTACAACTATAGTGTTCCTTTCGGATTTTATTATTGCTATCATTTTTTTTTCTGCTTAATGAAACACATATAATATTATTTTGACGTAGATATGTTTCAAATGATCATAAAAGGTTTTCTTATTCGAAGTTCATTGTAGAAAACGCTCAGAGCAATGAAAAAAATATGAATAGGTACCTAAAAATGAAAAAAAACTCTTGAAAATTTCTACGATACATAGGGAGACGTGAAAGTTGCTATTGTGTTTTTATTCAACTCAGTCAACCAATTTCCAGGGCCGTAATTTAAAAGGGAATAATTCACACAATTATAATCGAATATTACCAAAACATCCCGAAATATAAAATTGACTTTAATTTCTCAGTATGAAGTTAACGTCTACGATCCAAAAACTACAACAAAAAATACAGGTTCGTATTTGAAAATTCAAAGATGGGGGTGGCCCAAGTTAGATGACACCCTGTATAAAAAATTTATGGATATATTCTGATAGCTCACATCAAATTCCAATAGCAAAATGTGGACAGATTTCCAATATGTCTGCGAATAAAGAAAATATAGGCAAAAAAATAATTTGAGATTTTTTGGTTTTTCCTGTATTTTTCAGAATCAAAAGAGCTATATTCGATTTCTTTACATCATTGAATATGTCTCTAAAATACACAACTTTGCCACAATTTAACCGACACACTATCTCTCATCATTTACGAGATCCCCAAGTACAGAAACGAATTTGAATAGCCCTGTATATACATAACCACGCATGCAATGAAAAACACAAGCGAATATCTATTGAGAAAACTAAGACAACAGAATAACTATTGGCCCCGACCAAACAATTCATCAAAAACTAATCTCCCTCTTTCATACTCACATGTCATCAAATAATAGATTTATTCTCATGGCTCAGCAGACAACGTCAGTGTCGCCCTCAACTACACAAATGATCTCTCATCCCTCCAAAACAAATTTCCTGAAAAAACTAGAACTTTGTCACGAGTATCAACACATCCACATCTTCATCTGATGTATGGAACAAAATCAAAAGAATAGCAGGAAAAAATAAAAACCAAGGTATTGCAACCCTGGTCTTCAAGGAAAGGACTCTCACATCAACGAAAGCTGACTGTCTAGCAAAGAGCTACAGTCAAAACTCTAGTTGTGAGAAGCACGACGCTGATTTCAAACTCTGGAAGAATTCAATTGAAACAAATCAGTTGATATGTTTCTCAGCCAGAAGAAAATTATCCCTTGAATTCGAAAATATCTATAAAAGAACTAGATGAAGCACTCAGAGACATGAAAAATTCAAGTCCGGGACCCGACGTGGGTTAGAATAGCTTGTTAGATCATTCAATCTTATTTTAACAGAAGAAATTATTCCTTGTTTTTGAAAAAAAAAACAATACTGTCCAATTTCGCTGATAAACAGCCAGAGCAAAGTGGATTCAGAAAACAACATTCAGCTCTCCATAATATCATAGACCTGGAATCACACATCCATGAGGCATCAGTAAACACACAAAAATGTATCGTGATACAACTTGACATCACCAAGGACTTCGACACAGCTTGGAAACATAACATCCTTTCAAAACTGGTCGAATTTAACATATAAGATCATATTCTGGTCTTTATCCGAAACTTCCTCTTTGACAGATCTTTTCAATAGGAGTGAACTATCATCCAACTACCCACAGAAGAACGGCATACCTCAGGGATCTATTATAAGCACTACTCTCTTCCTCATTGCAATACATGAAGGGACGAAATATGCCAAACCCACAACTAAAGCTAGATTATATGCTGATGGTGAGATCTTGTACATGAAGAGAAAAAACAATGAGTCAATGGGCTTTAAATTCTCACCCCAAAATACCAAGGGGATCATCTTTTCGAAAAAAGCCGGCTGAAACACTGACCTAAAACTTCAACTCAATACGAAATCCAAATTTTAGGGATGGTATTCGACTCTCACCACTAAGCGGGAAGTCGCATATCAACAAATTCATTCAATCATGTCATAAAGGACTCAACACTCTCAAGTTACTCAGCAACACACACTGACTCCATCACATTATTCCTTCAACTATGGCTCTATCGCGTATGTATGACACAAAGCATACTACCCCTGTAAGATACAGAACACAATACTGCCTTCGCCTTGTCTTAGGAACATACCACTCCAGCCCAGTCGAAAGCCTCTGTAGCGAGTCAGGACCTCCACTGCACTATCGAAGGAGATAACTGAGTATAAAATACGCTAACGCAATATAAAAATTTCCAGATCATCCAACTTACGACGTCATTTCAAATTTTTGCAGCGATATATTCACTTTCTCTCCACATAGTCGTATACCCTTTTACCAAAGAATCAACAAAATGCTTCTAGATCTACATGTAACCCTCCCATCAATTTTTCCTACAATCACAACTGATCCCTCCTGGCTAATCTCGTTTAGAAAATGCGACCTAAGCATTACTACAAAAAATGCGATACCAACCAACAAATGATTGTGAAGTCGTTCCATCAAAGGCTATGTTTATATGAAAACTTTCCGCACCTTAACACAGATTGGCTGTTGGCTGTTTACACGGTTTGGCTGTAGTAACATCGGACTCCACCCAAGCCCTCATATATGAGAGAAATTATGTAATTAACGTGGTAATGCTGCTTCGGTCTTTAGAACTATTCCTGCTTCACATAATTTTGATGAGATCATGCATTGCCCTCATTTCAGTACTGGACTAAAATATCTTCGAAACAAGCCGAGATATGTGGATATTCATCAGTCTCCTATCAAGGTTAATTCGCAAGTGATTGATCCACCTGCTTCTTTTTCAGTGTGGTCAATGGACTTAGGTCATTCTTGCCTCCCAAATATGAGTTGCGAGTTGCAGTCCTCGTGGTTCTGGTTCCCTTTCAGTGGAAGAGCTTCATGAAGCAAGAGCCAAATCGATCCCTCTACGAAACCCTTCATCGCTTGGAAGGATCGATTGCAATTTGAGAAATGGTTCTTATTCAGATTCTGTAAAACATGTTCTTCATTACGAATCAGTACAGAGTTGTCCTAAAAATTTTGAGAAGACAATCGGATTAGATAATTTAGGAAACACTTGCTACATGAAGACCATTTTACGAGTGGTGTTCATGACGAAGAATTTCAAGAACGAGGTTTTAACAATGAACAAGAAAGAGAAAGTTTCCTAATTATTCAACAAACTCAAATACCTGTTCATGCCGATTTCCTGGAGTCGTTGAAGTCCACTAGATACTCGTTAGGACAACAAGAGGATTATTCCGAATTATTGGGGTTCTTGTTGAATAATCTTCGTGAGCAAAAAAATAGCAGAATCAATACTCATGACCGCTCTGGATTGAATGATTCCGTACATTCTATATCGTTTTGTGTTTGTAAATCTTTTGCTGGGAAAATCCTCACTTCTTTACTTTGTAGTAAATGTTCAAGAGGTAGCAAAAACGTATGTGAATTTCTGGAACTTCAACTAGCGTTTCCTAATATGACCAATAACCAGTCCGTGCAAAGCTTATTGTTAAATCATCTGAAAATGGAACTTTCAACAGGTAATGATCGACTGTATTGTGCCAAACATGCGCCAAACTAACTGACTATTATAAAAAAACAATTATAGCTGAGGCACCAGTCATACTAATAATAACACTGATGATCTTCAAACATGACTCAACCTCTGACGGAAGCACCAAACTCTTATGAAAGTTCTAAGTAGATGAACACTTCAATCTAGCAGACCACTATTATAATCTTCATGCAGTCATTGTTCACTGTGGTTCTGGCGTTGAATCTGGTCATTATTACGCCTTGGTCAAAGACGAAACGGAGTAGTTTAAGTTTGACGATAGTCGTGTCACTAAGTGTTCTGGCGATGTATTGAATTTATTGGAGCCTCTGGAGATACCCTATATTTTGTTTTATGAAAGAGAGGACATTGGCAGATCAAGATCTTCAGATGAAGTGTTGCTGTGGGTTTTTCCGGGTTTTCCTGCAGCTGAAAAGGCAAATGCGCCAGTGGAATCAATGAAGTCGCCCCGGAGCGCCAATTAAATTTTGTTGTTGTTGTCTGCATTAATTATATATTATTTCAACAAAGAGCATTGAGGATAAGTATTCAAAAAATCTAGTGATAATTTCTATCGAAACCAAACTAACTCTCCTCGGAACAGAAGTGAAATTTATATGGCCCTGCCTTATTAGTAACAAGGTAACGAGTCCGCCGATGCGAATTCAACATAAACTATAACAATCAAATTGTATGAAAATAATTTTGATCAGGAAGTAAAATTCACCTTTCACGCACAAATTAATGATTCTATATATATGTATACATTTTTATTTGACTTATACATTTTTTACTATAAAATCGCTTTAATTGTCCACGCGGTACCTGCTTCGCAGGTTACTGTTGACACTTGATCATTTAGGAACTAAAATCTTTAGCTTAATTTAGTTAAGCAGTTTTTATTGTTTTCAGGTATAGAGATATTGTTAATAGTTAATAACAATAATCTCTCCACCTACTACTAAAGACATGAAAATGATTTAACAAATTTATATTTTTTTATTTGAAAAGTTAATTCAAGAAAATTATTTTTATTGTCAATTATTCTAATTTTATTAAAAAAATGAGGATCAGGATATGATCTTTTTCACTCATGATCAAAAATAATAATCATTAAATGTTTTTTTTTAATTTGTAGATGAAAATTTTGATTCATATTTATGTTTTCAATTATTAATTTCAAACCCTGGTTTTCTGTAATGAATGAAGCCAAAAGTTCTTTGTAGGTTCAAAAGTTCAATATTTCGGACTGATTCTGAAGGTACATATTATAAATACATAGATAGATTTATTAGTCATTGAAGCTTTATAGAAATAGAAATAGTTTTATTCATCACTAAAATTTTCACACATACACAATTACAAGATTAAATACATGAGAAAACTTATTGGACTAGTCAAAAAAGTAAAACGTAGTACAATCAGAGCAAACAAATGAATAACATTGTTTTGATTAGCTTCCGGGTTTTGCTGTTGTCTTCTTTGGCTATAATCTCCAAACGTTTCAACTGCAACTGCGGCAGTTATCTTCAGTGGTGTGGTCAAAGTACCCTTCTTGACGTATCAACTGAAACTTTCACTGTTTAGCAAAGATGACTGCCGCAGATGCAGTTGAAACGTTTGAAGACCACGGCAAAACCCAGAAGCCATCAAAACATTAACACCAGCCGTGAAAGCCTACATTTCTATATTAAACGAACAATAGTTCATTCTCTAAAATTATTCAAAAATGACTTGTTGTCGATTAACACGAAATAGTGTAAAATACTTTTCAACTCGATATTTCTTGAAAATTTATTTAGAGAATGAAAAGCATTCATGATGAGGTAGTCATATATCTGTAGCTGTTTGTAATTGAATATGCATTGATATGATAAGTTGTGAAAATGGCAAGCGTAAATTATATTTTACTTTCACATCATACTTAGGAATCATCACTTAAATGAAATGAATAAAAAACACTTTTGTGTAAATACCACTGGTAGATTTTATTTATAAGACCGGTTTCAGGTTTGACCCCATTATCAAGTATAAAACTGAAATCTGAAATTTGAAATGTCGGTTATATTAGACTTTTCAGGTATGCTGCAAGGACAGGTTTTGAGAGACAGGTAGTTGGGCGAACCAAGATGCTGTTTGGACAAAAAATCTGCAATGTACGAACATCTTTAAAAATCAAACCACAAGATAAATGAAGATAACCTCAAAATCCTACACATATGTAATAAAGAGAAAAAAATGAATTTATTGGGGCCATAGAAATTAACAAATCAATTAAAAACCTGAAATATATACCCCTAACAACCCCTAGAATTTTCAGTGTGGATTTTTAAGTTGGCATCCTGAATCGCCCAGCTACCTGTCTCTCAAATACCTGTCCTTGCAGCATACTTGAAAAGTCTAATATAACCGATTTCAGTTTTATACTTGATAATGGGGTCAAACCCGAAACCGGTCATATGAATAAAATCTGCCAGTGGTATTTAGACAAAAGTGTTTTTTATTAATTTCATTTAAGTGATCATGAATTACCATAAAGTAAACAGGTCATCAATCACACACACTTATGAATCATATTATTTCTATCAAAATGCACTTCGCCATTTTATACTTAGTGTTAACAAGAGTAAGAAGGGACTATAATATATCTAATTTCAGTTTGTTTGAGAATATGGAACGAATCTGTGATCCGAAGTATGTGCCGAATGCAACTGATGTGCTCAGAGCTCGAGTACGAACCCAAGGCATAATAGAAACTCAGTTTTGCATAAGTGATATGATTGTTAGTATGTATGACGTTGGAGGACAAAGATCTCAGAGGAGGAAATGGATCTATTGCTTTGATGATGTTCGAGCTGTACTTTTTGTGATTTCACTTAGTGGATACGACATGACTTTGCTTGTAAGTTATGCAAACTAAATTTATTAAAGGTTACTGGTTACTACATATTCTTCAAGGATACGTCTCGTAAGCCATAAAATGTCATCGCTTAGACTCGTGCCAATATATATTTAACTTCATCACCTAATCCATGAAAAGTGGAGGATGAAAGGTTAAATGAAAAATTAAACTTCCTATGTTTCAATACCACTTGTATTTGTAGCTAATGTTACTGCAGTTTCGTCCAACAAGGACATTTTCAAACTAATACAATAAACTCAAATAATTAACAATGTTAACCCTTATATATATCTATACACCACTATAGGTAATAACAGACGGTTCTCAATGACTTTATTACTTGTATACTGTTTACCTGTGATAATCTGAGTACGCTAATCTGAAAACAGGTGAGTAGACCCGGTCGATTTGGTCATTTAGTAGGTTAAATCCGCAATGCTTATGCTTATGAATTTCTAAGGGTTCCAAATAATTGAGTTTCAAACCCTTGCTTGCATAATGCAAAATTTCCGTATTGTTTAGATTCGGGAACTTGTGTTGCATTCCAAGGAATGGTTTGAAAACTTTAAATCATCTTTACCTAGTCTGAAGGACCTTTCACGTTCAGCATACCATTTTGAGAAATTTCGGCCATATTGTCCCACATCACTAATACACTCCGGACACTTACCACTTGTATTTGAAACTAACGTTACCTACTGCAGTTTCGTTCGATAAGGACATTTTCAAACGAATGCAATATTAGTTTCAAAATGTTCTTTTACGGAAACTGCAGTAACGTTAGCTAGATTAGAATAGATTGTCGGGGAGCTAGCCCATGGCCTGATTCACTGCGACCTTTTCAGATCTATTGTGATGCTCCTTGGTTGTTACAGCTCATTGTCTAGCTTGATCTCTTTGATGAGACTCGATAGCCTTGACACTGACCCCTTCATATAGCTGGCAGCCTCTGGGTTTTCTTCCCCGCATCTTGCTTGTCTTAGCCGTGCTATCACTTCGCATTTACAGAGCACATGCAGAGTGGTTTCTTCCTCTTCTTGACAGAACCTGCATTGGGTTTCTTCTATCAGACCCATGTTGCTCATATGTTTCCTGAGCCGGCTGTGCCCCGTTAGTAAACCCACCACTACCCTTAAAACCTTAGGGTTGTGGTTTAGCAGGTCTTCCGTGAATCTGGGCGATGGTTTCTTTATGAACTCTTTCGCCTGTCCTCATTCCACCAATCTATCGATTCGGCTTGCATCCATGAGTTTATGGATGTCTTCATACATGGTTTCTCTATCCCCCAGAAGGGTTCTGGATCAATCATAGCCTTGGATGCGCCTTCATGGGCTAGAACATCAGCCTCCTCATGTGACCCTCATGTCCGGGTACCCAAGCTAGAGTGACCCTAGTTTGGTTACTTAGCTCCTTGAGTGTGCTCAGACAGCTTCCCACCGGTCTTGAGAAGACTTGAAATAAGCTGAGCGCTTTAATTGCCGCCTGGCTGTCGGAGAAAATGGCAATGGTTTTATTTGTGACCTTCTGCCTGTTTATTTCCCCTATACAGTGTTCGATGGCCGCTACTTCTGCTTGTAACACAGTTACATTATGTCCGAGGGTTGTATTTGTAACTAACGTTGTAACTTACGTTACAAATACAAGTGTAAAAGAACAGAAAGTTTTGTTGTAACTTACGTTGTAACTTATGTTACAAATACAAGTGTAAAAAAACAGAAAGTTTTGTTTCTCGTTTTTCATGATGATCTCCTACCACGTAGTAACTGCTTCATCCATCAATTTACTTACTGTGGTTATCCCAGAAGTACCCGGCCTGACCTAGAGATGGCGGTAGTTGTTTGAAAAATATCACTGTATCAGAAAATAAACAATCTATAAAGCATATGTTTCAAGTTTGAAATGCTGCGTTATTTAGTATTTGTTTGGCAGCCATCAATAGCGAACGTTTTCGGATAATTTGTGAAAATGAAAAAAATTGGTCATTGTTATGTGGTACAATACTTTTATTTGAAAGGCCTCATCCTGACCAATATAGAAGCTGCACTGGATTCTACTTTGGGTGAGTCTGCTCCTTCGTTTACAATAGTAAAATATTGGGAAGCAGAGTTTAAAGGAGGCCGTACGAGCTGCCAAGACGAGCATCAAAGTGGTCGACCAAATGAGGTGTTTCAATTGAGTATTTAGCGAAGTTTCACAGCAACAAAGCAAAATTTTTGCGCCGTTTCATAATCATGGATTAAACATGGATCCATCACTTTACACCTTTAGACAAAAGAACAACCAAAGCAGTGGACTCGAAAAGGAGAACCGGCACCAAAGAAGGCGATGACCGTTTCATCTGCAGGCAAGGTCATGGCATGAGTTTTTTGGTATGCACCTGGGATGATTTTCATCGACTATTTTAAAAAAGGTAATACAATCAACGGCGAGGGTTATGCGAACTTATTGCAACGTTTGAGTGGAGAAATCAAGTAAAAACGGCCGCATTTGGCTAAGAAAAAAGTGTTGTTTCATCAAGGCAATGCACCAGCTCACAAATCCATTATCACAATGACCAAAATTAACGAATTCAATACCTCATTACCCTATTCGCCAGATTAAACCTCCTCGGATTATTTTCGGTTCCTAAACTTGAAAAAATTACATGATGGTCATTTTCCAACGATGAAGAAGTGATGTTGGCAGTTAATCGCTATTTTGAGGAGCAAGACAGTTCTTATTATAAAAACGGTACCGACCTTATTGAACGTCGCTGGGGAAAGTGTATAGAGCTGCAAGGAGATTATGTTGAGAAATAAATAATTTTTTTTTCAACATTTTTGTGTTTTTTTGTTGGGCCTTGTTCTTCTGGGAAAAGCTTGTGTCAGGAGTGTGGGACGAATGTGGCTGAAATTTCTCAAAACGTTATGCTGAACATGAAAGGTCCTTCAGACTAGGCAAAGATGATTTAAAATTTTTAAACCATTCCTTGGAATGCAACACAAGTTGTCGAATCTAAGTCATACGGAAATTCTGCACTATGCAGGCAAGGGTTGAAATTCAATTATTTGGAACCCTTGGAAAATCATGAGCATACACATTGCGGATGTAACCTATAAAATGTTCAAACCAACCTGGTCTAATCGCCTGTTTTCAGATTAGCATACCCACTTTGTCACAGAAAAACAAAATACAGGTAATAAAGTCATTAACGACCGTCTGTTATTACCTACAGCGGTGAATAGATATTTAAGGGTTAACATTGTTGATTTTTTCAGTTTATTGTATTAGTTAAAAAACGTCTTGTTAGACGAAACTGCGTTAGTTACAAATACAAGTGATATAAAAACATGGGAAGTTTTATCTCTCATTTTTCATTGTGATCTCCTACCACGGAGTAACGGCCACGCCCATCAATTTATTAAAAGGTTAAAGACATATTTTTGTAGGATCGTTCTATCTATCTCTTTTAGCTTCAATTTGGACATCTGTGTGTTTCAATATGACTCACCGCACTTATTGGATGTCGATGGACAGGTACAAATTGGTTACGTAACTACATTTTTTGATATTATTCAAGTATGCAAACCGATCATCCTGATCTAATGGTTATTTTATTTCAATGGGGTCAATATCTATAATAACAATCACAATCAGATTCTGATTGAGAGTATTAGCTCTGCACTTATTACAAAGCCATTTTCCGTGTGTGTCTTACTACATGCCTTTTACCTTAATTATATTTGATGATACTTTCAGGCTGCCTTTCGAAAATATTTTGGTTTCATCCATATATATGAAGGAAAAACTGTTCTGATTAAACTGATGGTTATTTCTTAAAAAACTCCATTCTCTTATGTACAACACCACCTTTTTCATACAAAACTTTCCTATTATCCTACCAACTTCTGTTATTTCTTTTCGTTTTATTAAAAAAATTATGCTGGTTGAGTAACAAGTTGTTTGCATTTCATATTCGAATTTGGTGACTACTGGCAAATCTAAGGTATTCAGATGAAGACTATTATGGTTTTCTTTCATGTCCGGTCCCCCTTGTCGTCAAGTTTACTCACACTTTAATTTATATTCACTTATTTAGTGGCTTCAAATACCCGCTGGTGAATGTTCAGTAACGACTTGAGAGATTCACTACTGATTTTTTCTTTAGAAAATATTCAAAAATAATTATTCAATACTTTAATGACACTTTGGAATATTGAGCAAGCACACAAAAATCGTATTTCTACACTAAAAACTATATGCCTACTAACCCAACTTTTAATGTTGACACCCTTTTTTCGAAATCTGCAATCTAAGCCCAGTTAGTATATATTCAATTTTGACGAGTACCTAGGAGGCAGAGATCATGTTTAATATGAATTCATGACCTAATTTTTTAATAATCCATTTATTTGATCAATAGATTTTTCACTGAAAAGACAAGACACTTCCAAAGCCAAAGACAAGTTATTTCATAATTGTGTTAAATGATGAAATCCTAATGAAACGTTCATGATAGTACTAATTTGATATTTTTGTTAAACTTGCAACCCAATCGGTTGAGGAGGTGCAACAGTCAAAACATTTTTCCACAAATTCTTTTGACAGAAGGTTAATTTATTGGAAAAGAAAGGTTTTGACTTTCTACCTCTCCAGCTTCATACAAAAAGAAGTGGACATTTTCCAAAGAAACGAAGACAGCAATTGATTTTAAACTTAACTTTTTACAAAGATTTGTGGATCGTGCAAAGAAGTATCTTTCAGACACAAACTGGAATAAAAAGCCCTCTCGTAACAACTATTTTCATATAAACATTGAAATACACGAAAAAATACTTTCGAAACAACTACTTTTATATGAACATTGAATTATACAAAAAACACTTTTTCTTAATCACTTTGTCCTCCAAACATTCGGAATTGATCAGATATCATTCACAGGATCGCAACTCAATATCTTATATGAAAGAGTTAAAATTTCACTTACAAGGAACATTTTCATCCGCAATGATGGCCATCGATGTTTTGGAATAAAACACTTGTCTTATTGCTTCTTCAGCACCAATCGGGATAATATTACAAGATGAACTGTTTTTTGTATAATTCAATGTTTATATAAAAGTAGTTGTTTCGAGAAGGATTTTTATTCCAGTTTGTGTCTGAGAGTGACTTCTTTGTATGATCTGAACATCTTTGTAAAGAGTTCATTCTGCAATCAATTTCTTTCTTCCTTTCTTTGTAAGATTCCCAAAATTTTTTATATAAAGCTGGAGAAATAAAAAGCAAAAACCTTTCTTTCCCAAAAATTAGACTCTACTAAAAATATACTCCATTCAATTTAAACAATATTTTTAATGTATTGTTATGAACTTGAGATCTAAGTTTAGTCAAGACGTGGGTTTTTAATAAACAAATAACCAATTGGTACGCTTATTCATATTTAATAACTTCATTTAATCACACAAATTACACTAATAAACACAATACTTCAATCGCTCTCAACTGTCATACTTTCCTTACTTTCATATTCCGCGCTCTAATTCAAACCTTCCCAGTCCACTACTGTTCTTTGTATATATACTCTTGTAGAATTCTCTGGTATGTAATGGACCATGTTCAAAAGCAATCCTATCTTTTTGCTCAAATTTTCTAGGAACTATGTGCTCCACTTCGCTCGATGATGTCATTCACATTGTCTTACTTGTCAGCCAGTGACAGGTAGTTCATGGGCGTAGGTAACTGTAACGTCGTGGCGATACATTATGCTGAATATGTGGCAATCAAATAGAATTCATTATTTCATTTAATTATTTTTGAACGAAATGAATTAATTTATTTTAGGAGGATCCCAGTGTTAACAGACTTGAAGAAAGTTTAAACTTATTTGGACAGATAGTCAATAACCCATTTTTCAGAGATGCTTCATTTGTGTTATTCCTGAATAAATTCGATCTATTTCGAGAAAAAATTCTGCATTCCAATCGACATTTAAGACTGTATTTCCCAGACTACAGAGGTAAGTTCAACAAAGGTTATGAAAGACTAAAGAATAAGTCTGACAATCTCTAGCAAAAGCAACTTTGCTTCACGTATCATAATCTAATATTCAAATGGAAGATAAAGTAAATTTTCATAATGATATCTGCATATTTATTAATATCCACAATAATGATTGGTCATAAACCAAAATTTCACATTTACTTATAAATCAGCGGTAACAAAAAATACTTTACAAAAATACAAATCCTTTTCAGAATCACAGAATATTTTTGTTTTGGTTCTTCAGTAGGTTTTTAGATTGACAAAATTTACTTTCGATTACAAATCCCTATATTATTTATGGTATTATATATGTCCACTTGGAGTACAGATATTTGCATCAAAAAATACTAAATTTCCTGAAGGAGATTTTTACGTTTGTTAAAATAATCTCTTATAAAAAATGGAACCCTGAAATACATTAAAATTTGTGGCAAATATTTCAATTTTACTGCTAGAATACAGGGTGTAACCGAATAAGTGTAAAATATTTAAAGAGGTGATTCCTACCAAAAACACACTTAGCAATTTATTTGGTTTACCCTATGGTTGTAAGGGGTGGAAAACGCAACCCCTAAAATTTATTTCCAATGTAACTTTTTTTCTTATTATTTGTTAACCATTTAAAAATTTATTTCTGATAGCCTGTTTCATTCTAAACAAAAAATGTCTCTTGGGTTTTTACCCAAAATGAACCAGTTCGCAGCAAAAAATTATTTTAGGAACAACTACAGAGATACATCGTCATAAATGCGAACTGGATTTATTGTTATTTTGTAGTTAGTACCCACATTAAACGATTAAAGGATAATAAACAAAACTAATTAATAACAAAACACACAACATGTAGAAATCATAGTAAATGTTCAATATGTCTACCTTCAGACATTACGCATGCGTCTAGAAGTAGGCGCATTGAGCTACGTATTCGCTCAAATATTCCTGGAGTCTCTCTGGTTACCCTGCACGCATCGATGATGCGGTTTCTTAAGTCCTCTACATCGCGAACAGGAGTACGATAAACCAAATGCTGTAAATGGCCCCAAATAGAGAAATTGAGAGGATTAAGATCCGGGGATCGAGCGGGCCATCATTCATAAAAGATATATTCCTTCTGACACCCAAAGGAACTTCCTCCAGCAGTACTGGATACACTTCTCTTAAAAATTGAACGTATGCCTCACCATTTAATCAAGAAGGTAGAAAATGAGGCCCAATTGAATCATCCCCAATAACCCCGAGCCACACGTTAAGAGAAAACTGTTCTTGATGGTTAGTTTCGACAATAGCGTGAGGGTTTTCATCAGCCCATATGTGGTAATTATGAAAATTAATAATCTTGTCCCAAGAAAAACCACATTCGTTTGTGAATTCTATCGTCTTCAAAAAGTCACAATTTATTCTAGTCATTTCCAGCATCCAATTGCAAAATTCAAGACGGTTTGGAAAGTCTCGCGGTAACAGTGCCTGTACTCGTTACAGATGGTAGGTGTATAAGAGTTGTTCCTTTAAAATTCGAAATACCGTCATATGATCAACATACAGCTGGAAAGCAATCATTCTAGTACTGGTAGTAGGTTGTTCTTCAATCAAATTAAGTACTGCTTCCTCAAGGTGTGATGTTCGTACTTCTCGATGGCGACCACAATCCTGCGTTCTTTTGTCGAATGAACCATATTCTCGTAATCGTTGATGAAGTCGAGCAAATATTCTATATGAAGGATGCTGCCGTTGAGGATACATTTCAGCATATTTTCTAGAAGCTTGTAACCCATTCCCCTGCGACAGATTGTAAACGTAATGCATATCGGTCATTTCCTCATTTGTGTATGCCATTTTAATATCAAGTGAATTATTATAGTAACAAATTAAGAACAGAACAACACAAATCAATATTAATTCAATTTCGAAAATTCACAAACTGACAGCGTCATACCAATTTAATTGTCACTATCGCTAATAGCGACCTACTAGACAGATTAGTTTCGTATTTTCGCATTTATGACGATGTATCTCTGTAGTTGTTCGTAAAATAATTTTTTGCCGCGAAATGGTGTATTTTGGGCAAAAAACCTGAGAGACATTTTTTGTTTAGAATGAAACAGGCTATCGGAAATAAATTTTTTTATGGTAAACAAATAATAAGACATAAAGTTACATTGGAAATACATTTTAGGGGTTGCGTTTTCCACCCCTTACAACCATGGGGTAAACCAAATAAATTTCTGGCCAAGTGTCTTTTTGGTAGTACAAAACGTCAGGTTAATTTCAATATTGTAACTTTTTTAGTGCTTGTGAAAAAAATTGTTATACAAATTTTATGTACCCCCTTTAAGGGGCTGTATCTTAACAAGGGATGCTCCAATGAAATTTCTTTATATGAAAGATTCTATCTTTTTTTCGATGAGGAATCACCTTCTTAAATGTTTTACACTTATTTAGTTACACCCTGTATAAACATATTAATAAAAAGACATTTTTAACATGGACAAAAATTATATTAAAAACAAAAGTTTAACATATTTGGATCAGTATTTCTGCAAAATTTTTATAGCTGTTGGTTTAATGGATGACCAAATCGACCTATAATTCTATTTGCTGGTTTTCAGATTAGCTTACACACATTGTCATAGGAAAACAAAGTACAGTTAATGTAGTCATTAAGGACCGTGTTGTTATTATCTACAGTGGTGTATACAGTGTTGATTATTTCAGTTTATTGTATAAGTTTGAAAATTTCCTTGTTGGATAAAACTGCAGTAACATTAGTTACAAATATAAGTGGTAAAAAACATGGGAACTTTCATTTCTCTCTACTACCTGGTAGAAATGGCTCCATCCATCAATTTATTAAAAACACATCACTATTGGTGAAACTTTCTTGTATGCAATAAATATAATATTAATTTACACTTGTAACATTAAATAACGTTTTTATTGTTAATAAAAGTTTGAATCAATGCGCAAAAATGAATTTCAAAAACTTACTTTTAATTTATATTATGGTGTTTGTCAGAGGCATATTACCTGTAAGGCAAACTAGGCACGTGCCTAGAGGCGCGAGGCTACGAAGGGGCGCGTGGCTACGAATGGGCGCGTGGCTACGAAGGGACGCGTGGCTACGAAGGGGCGCGTGCTGTCGTTGGAAGTCAGTAGTCATTAAAAATTGTGTGCTAGAGGGGCACCTGTGAGGTGCTTGCCTAGGGCGCTCTCCACAATTATTCCACCTTTGGTATTTGACACCACCATTTAGATACAAAATATTCTGTGAATTTCAAGTACTCAAATAATGCAGAAAATTATGATTGACCCAATTTTGGATTGGTAATATAACATATATAATGAGAAAAAAAATTTTTGTTACTTTAAAGGTCCCGACAGAGATGTTGATCGAGGAGCCCTTTTCATTCAACACAAATTCATTCTGCGTAACGGTGATTCCAGAAAAGTATTATACCCGCATTTCACAACTGCTACGGACACCGCTAATGTGAGGGTGGTTTTCCAGGCTGTTATGGAAATGGTTATTTCAGCTAATTTAGGTCATGTAACATTATTATAGTTTCTGTTACAGTTCTCAATGCTTATTTGTCAAACAAGCACATGTCTTCCTAGTGTTATGAATATTGTATACTTTGAATTTTCAAGCGATATCAAAATAATATAGGAGCTTGAAGATGGCGACAAAAAAACAAACATGATAATATTGCGAGATCAAAATTATGAAGGTTCAACCTTTGAATATTCTGTTTTTTTTTTGTTCAGCTCCCGAATTTAGAAGTGAGCAGTAAAAAAATAATGTGTGAGGAATGTATCAATAACTTTCATGTTCTGGGAATAACTAGATGAAGATATGAAGTGGTTTAAAAAATATCTATCTGATGGAAAACTTAAAAAAAGCCAGTTCATTTAAAACCAGCACTTGCGGAGTTCTACAAGAAATTAGTTTTATTTTCGATTTATACAAATAGTTTCAAAATTGTTATTCAAAGAAAATACTAAGTCATATACAAAACAATATTACTTCATTTGTATAGAAAAAATAAAAAAGATATGATGACATGTTAACTGACATTAACATTGTTGACCTCTTGGTTAAATTAGCACAAATTGAGTTGGAATCATGAAAAGTCTTCATCAAGTGTTGATAACCAAGAACAGAACCATAAACAAAAACAAACCTGTTGAATGTTGACTAACTACACAATTTTCAGAGACTCATATTGATGAAAGTTTCTTTTGGAGTACTGTATTTATTTCTGTTTGATATATTCGAGTATGCAATATTTAATTTCTGTTTTGGAAACAGCTAACTCATCGATAGTAAAACTCTTAGGAGAGTGCAGTATATAATATTAAAATGGATGTTTCGATTACCATATGTTGAACTTACATCTTAAATATTCAATCTATTTTTCAATTAAAAATGTGTTGTTTTATTTGTTCAGATAGAAAAAAGTGCAAACCTTCTACTTTGAATGTCAATGAAATAAATACCATCCATGATCATAATACAAGACGAATCAAACAACTATTTGTTCTAACGTATTCTAAAAACACTTTATTGTGTGATTTTCACTAGACACTAGACATGTCTAGTGAAAATCACACAATAAAGTATTTTTAGAATACGTTAGTTATGGAGTTTCATCAAGTATCGGCCGATTCCATCATTTGTTCAATTTGTTCAATTATATCACTCAAAATTTGGGAGAAATATATAATAATCTTCTAAAAAAATAAAAATAAATAAAAAACAATAATTAGGTTAGAGCCGAATGGAAAAGGTTTTTGCGTTCTTCCTTTAGTTGAAATTTTGATCTTCATATTATACTTTTCTATTTTATTGTCACTAAAATTTAATCATCAATATGTGCATTGACTGATGAGTATTCCAATAATGTATTTAATTATTGTTGATTTTTGGCACTGATGAAGACTATCTTTTCTATTATTATTATTATACGTCATCTGACGAACTTTATTTAAGATACACAAAAAATTAGCGAACTTTATAAAAAAAAATGTTTCACAAGGTACCATTCCACAATCCCTGCACAGATACAAGTCCGAGTAAAAGTCAGAAAACATCACTGTAATTTTGAAAACTGAGATATTATTCTTTTCCGATTGAGTTTGGGTTATTAAATTACACTCAATACAAATACTGTTACCACACATTGGAACTGCAACTCTCTCCGCAATGAAGCTCTTCACCAATCAAGTTAGTATTATCAGGAAATGAACTATAGCAATTCTGTGAATCCCCCATTTTCACTTTGCTACTGTTCGAAGGTCTCATTACACATTTTGCTGTCTCCAGACTTCCAAAAGTCTAGTGTCACTTACCAATCTTACAATGACACCAATGCTCATTTATTATGCGGCACTAGATTCTAAACAACAGGTTCTCAAATATTAGGTTTATTTATGATATCTTAGTTTAGTTTTTAGATGTCTTGGTTATAAGAAACAGGGTTGGGAATGGAATGGAATTAATATAGTTTTGCCTCCTAACGCCAATTTGGTTGGTGAAACGTGTTTTACATTATTACATGTTCAATTACCTCAATGTTTAATGAGTCCATTTTGTAAAACAAAACGGTATTCTGTATTTTTATCGATTTCCTTCTATTTGGTCAAACAGTGGGTGAAGCTCAATGAATTTCATTTGAGAAACCCTGATATACTTGAACATTCTTTATTCAACTCTCGATAGATGGGTAACTTTGGCTTTGACTCCACTAAACCTGAAGACTGTTTTCACAATCAGTTTTTTTTCTTTCTTCTGCATTCTCTGTATCACTGACATAATTGTTCTTTCTGACTATTGAATTCCTAGCCAGCTCTAGTTAGGAGAGTTTTTATCTGGTATATTTGAAATCACTTCTGAAGAGTTTCAGCTAATTTAGCCAGGATTAGTCTTGAGTCCTTTACATGTTCAGAAAAAGCATTGGTGGTATCAATTACCAATGACTGTAAAAAAAAGTAAAGTGAAATTTTTGGCATAGGTTGACACAAGTTTGAATAATAAATAAACTGCTGAGTCTGAAATCTACCCAGAACATGGGGTTACTAGCTAATCCAATTAATGGGTTTGACACATAAAAATTCTAATGAAGAAGACAAAAACCCCAAGTCGTTGTTACCGTTATGATATTATTTAATGAAAGCTCTTAATAACTTGAAAACCTAGATAATTTTATGAAGGTTTGCTCATCATAACTGTTGATACAGCAGTCTAGCCATTCTTCTAGCTCTATCAGACGTGTTTAGGGTGTACTATTTTTGCGAGCTATTATCAATAACAGTACTAACTTCACCACACTTACTGTCAGTAATGAAATTTAAGACAACATTTTTAAAATAACAAATGCATGTCTCAAAAAATTGTTGAATTGCTTCTGTTGATTTTCTTATAGGATTTAAAGAAGTTGAAGTGTGTATACATTTGTTGGGAAATATATATATATAGATATTCTATTACTCTATCCAAGTATCTATTTCATAAGCAGCTAATTTTTAAGATATGTTTCAGAAATAACCATTAATTATCTGCTATTAACCAAAATTTTTGACAGGGGTTATCTGAAAAATATATTATTGTTGGTTACTTTTAAAACAAGACAGTTGTGTCAATTATAAAGTGTGTTATTGTTAATAATTAGATTATTGTTAATAATTATATTATTGTCAATAATAAGATTATTATCGAAGCGCAAACAGGAAATCATATGCTGTGATCATACATTTTCCGACTAATTAATCTTATAGTCATTAAAATAAATTGCCAAGTTGGGCATTTTTTTTTTCGTTTTTTTTTTTAAGAGTCAATTTTAAGTTCTGATGAGTCCTCGGAGAAATATGAAAATCACATGGGGCCCCTAACATTGAAAAATTTCATGAACTGACGATGAGTTTAAAAACAAACACTTTCCTAATCACCATACGTTAACTTGGTGGAACGCGCGTCGAGAAGAGTATTGAAGTTTTCTGATTTGGAAAAGTACTTGTTTTTGGATTTTTTATGCCAGAGGTTCCAGTTTTATCTTTTGTTATGATGATAAATTTCTTTACTATTCATTACTCCGATGTGTTACTATCCACGTTTGAAGAAACAACTAAATGAGTGATTAAAAAAATGGAACTGGGTAATTTTTTGAGATTATAACTGAGTGTTACCTTGGACAAATGAGTGGATAAAGGGATCTGGATCTTTTCCTGACAATAAATGAATCTTCACATGGAGGGGATGATTAAATTAAATTTGATGAACAGGAACAAATAGTTTCAAAGTGTACTAAGTTTCATTTGGTTCACGTTAGGGTATTAGTTTTTCAAATGTCTTCCTTAATACTTGTCCAAATGAACACGTTTTAACCTATGTAGTTCATTATTTTCATTGCCTGTACGAGATAATTGATGATAACACCTACCTGGTTCATAAAAATGTTTGATTTTTTTTTCAGAAAATGTAAATGATAAAATTTGTTTTTTTTTCTCAAAACAGCATAAAAGTGACCACAAGGTACGTTTCAACAATCACTCATTCAAATATTCCAAATTCAATTTTGTCACCTGCTAATTGTTCCTCTCACCAGAACAAAATCATCACTTAGTATTTTGATGTTGGGTTCATCGCTTTTCAGACAAATTTAATTTAGAACACATTTCTGGTTATTTTTGGAACATATCCTCAGTATACATGTGGCTTTGAGACAATTTTTTAGTTCCTATATTGCTAGCTGTACTTGCCATTACATCACATTTTAATGGTTCCCATAGTACATATTTATTAACAAAGCAAATTAGACAAATAGCCAATCATGTGTAGTAAGATTAAAGTTTACAGACAATAACATTCACTGATTCATTCATTTGACTGTTCTTTATTTTGTTATTTCAGCTTATTAGATGCTTTAACAGTTTCTCTTTTGATTTATTTCAATCATTGCCATATTTTATTTGGTCTCATTTTGGAATAGTTTTATTTTTTTTAGTAATTTTTTACTTTTTGAAACCTTTATGTTGTATATGGATTGTGTGTAAGTAACTAATAGTAATTCTCAAACATTCAGTTTTGCTGTTTTCATTATCATTTATTGGTGCAACCTTTCTTGATTTTCACCATATTTGCAATAGCAACGAATCCCGATTATTATTGATTTGAACTTGATAACATTTTCCATATTCTTTTTTCCCCTTATTGATTTGCCCTTTCTATTAATTTTTTTTCTGAGACGACAGTAACGAAAATCGCCCTAGAGTATGTTTTAGGATATGCAACTTGGTTTATTTGAAATAATGATTTTCAATAGTTCAAAATGAATGTTTCCTCCTCAAATAATGTTTAATGAATATTTTATTTTTCATATTTGCATCCTTACTGAATGAATTGGAATGTATCAATTAAAATTTTACTAAAGACCCTTTTACTATGACTTTAGCCTTTTATAATTTCATGTCTTGCTTACAATCTACCAAATAACTTTGAATTGGTGAGCTCAAGGGAAGACTGAATGATTAATACTCATTTCTCATTCATTTGATACAGAGGATTAGTGAACATTGAAAATGGATCTATTATAAGTAAATGGAAAACATCATGATAAGAGGCAATTGTTTTTTATTTATAAGGTGTAACTAACAAAAAAGATCTCCCTGATGTGTTCCATAAACTAACAAAAAGTAAATATATATTAAGGCCATGTATAATAGATGTGTTCGATTATAAAAAATCTGAAGCTGAGCAAGCAAATGCAGATCTACATGATCGCAGAGAACTATTCAAGAATGACTAGCGAAAACAAAGGCATCATTATGTCAATAAGAATTTGTCATGAACTCCTTTATGAAGATAGTATGTGCTGACAACCAAATATTCCACTAGAAGTTAATTTTCCAAAAAAATACCTGAAACTGAACCAACTTTTAAAAATATGATGAATGACAACTGAAAAATCTGTCTGATTCTAACGTTGATCTCGAAGCCAACCGATCACATATATTTTTGCCTCGCTCTCGTAAATATCAAACACAGAGCAGATGTAAACTGAGACAACCGATCTGCATTATCGAATGCTAGCCGAGCACAACGACAGCGCTCAGATTTTTATTAAACGAACACACCTGATTAGTGTAGTAAAATCTGTTAGGAATCAATGATAGAAGTAGGATATATGTATTGTTTTATTTTTTATATAGTTCTTTGTGTAAGGTTGAGATATTAAAATTAATGTTGCTTTCTATATTGGCTTTATGCACTCATTTTTTGTGAGTTCTTTCGTATGGGATTTGTGCGAAAATAAAATTTGAACTGAATATGTGCTAAATGAAGAATTGCTGTGATAAAATGGCCTTATTCATGAATTTGTGTTTATATTAATTATGAGGAAAAATAAATTATGAAAATCATCATTATTTTATTTTACCACAACCTTCTACATAAAATGGGATTTTGGTAATATTATATTGTTAACTGAAACTTGAAAATTATTGTCAAATAGCTTTTTCATATTTCAACCAATTTATACAAAACATAACTGAATTAATCACATAAACCTTCCTCTTGAATCACTTCAACCATTGGTGAAAATCGTATGGAAATCCGC